GGAGCGGCTGGTAGTTTCGAACTGCTGACCTTAAGGTTCGCAGCCCGATTCGTAACCACTACGCTACCAGAGCTCCTTAATAGTTCATAGAAATCTTGTGATTTGCCAGTGCACCCTCAATAATTCAAATATAATATTTTAAAGGAAGATTTTATGGATACATTTACATGTATACTTCTCTAGTTTTTCATCAGTGAATTCAGAAGGAAAAAGGTAAAGTAGTAATAACAAAAATAGAATTTCAGGCTTTTAGGGAAAAAAAAGATTTTATAAGGGCTGACTTGAATGGTTTTGGCATATACCAAATTTGAGGTAAAGATAACCTATCAAACTAGTAATAAAAATAATTTTCTAGTACTGTTATTACGTAAACTCTTAAAATTAGCATAGTTTAGTTTTTCCCCCAAAATAACCATTTTAAAAACAGATTACAATGGGAGCATGTTTTGGTTGTTTGTCTACAATGTGAGAACATGCTAGAGAAAGGGAAATGGTTTGTATTTTCACACATCTGCCCATCTAGTAATCTGTTTCTCAAAACTAAAATTAGTTCATATCATTTTGCATCTGTTTTAATCTTAAGCTAAACTACAATACACATTTTTAATTTAAAAAGCATTAGCCTATGCAGCAGTTGCATTGAGGTGGGAGTGTGTAAACCAATTAGGAAAATCACACAAGAAACCTCACATGTAGATGTTACACAGGATGAGAAACTCAAAAGAAAAATGTAAGACTCACTGTTCAGCAGGAAGGAGCTATATAATGATTTTTATCCCCAAGGGAATGCCAGTTGTTAAGAAAATAAATAAAAATGAGTTACTAAGGAATTTTAACCTAAATATGAAGAACATATGGTTAGTCAATAATAGTAAATAATCCATGCAACTATGCAAATCAGAAAGAAAAGTAATATTGCACTAAAAGGGGAGTCCTGCTCTCAGCCACCTCTCTCACTGACTCAAAGTCACCAGCCATTTCCGGTATGCATTGGCAAACCTGGCTTGCTCTACATTCCGGCAGGTGGACAGTACTTGATCAATGAACCTGTGCTCCATTTCTAGGCCCACAGAGTCTGGAGCTGGGGTCCGCTTCAGGCGTTTGCTTTCCTGGGAATAGCCCTGCTTGCTAGAGTCATTCAGTCCATCCACCTCCATCGCCTGAGACGTGTGGGCACCTGCTGGGATGAGGTGCAAGTCACTCAAAGTCCCCCCAGGACTGTCTGCAGGTGACAACTGGGTCATGCCATGAAGATGCCTACCATTCAAATGATGCTGAAGATAAAAGATATGCCTCCTGTGAAAAAAGCAAAGGTAAAGGAGGGGAAAAGAAAAAAAAAAATCACAAAATCAAGCTTTTCAGGAAAAACAAAACATTAAGTTGATAATTTAAGACATACAGTGCTCAGTTTCCCTGTCTCTTTCCTAACCCAGGACAAGATGCAGAAAAGAATGAGCTAGGACATAGTCTCTGGGAAATTGAACAGAGCCTTACAAACCCAGTTTGCTGGTTTGCTTGTGAAAAGGAATACGATCCAAAGGCTTTCCAATAAACATTTACAGAGATGAAAAAAAGTTGAAGTTGTTATTTTTGGGTAATTTAGAATTAGAAATGGGTCTCAGCTCAATTTCCACTCTAAATTATAAAATCAAAAGAAATCAAATATTAACCTCACTGATATCCTAAAACACAACTAATTCAGAGACAAGGGGATTAAACAGGTCCTCCAAAGGCTTTTAGACCAGGGCTCCTCCCCAACACCTGCTTTAATAAGTACAACAGATCTGTGGTAGCTGCTTGTATTATCTAAAAAACCAAGTGAGCTTTCCCCGGGATCCATCACTACAGTCTCATTAAACACCCATTTCAGGGGAGCTGTGCTGGACTCTGAGCAGTGCCCACCGGTCCTGTTCACCCTCTGTGGACACTAGTGTTCCTGGCCTTAGACTCTCCTGGAGGTGTTTATTAAAAATGAAGATCCATGTGCTTTGATTCAGTGGGGGGGCACATCTACTGTGGTCAAGTAAACAACACAGATTCTAAAATGCTATGCATCATCATTTATATTAACAACTGTAAACCCTTAAGAGAATTGTACGCATTTCTCCAGCATCTTCTGAAGTAGACAGGAAGTGTATAACGTGCCCATTTAGTGGAAGGTGAAACCTAAAGAACAGTTGAGCTGCCCAGGGGTGATGAGTCAGCAGTGGCCTCGGTCATGTACAGATTGTTCCAGCAGTCTCTCACCTTACCCCTAAACTCCAGTTCACCTTTATAGGAATAAAGTGAACTTCTCCTCTCTCAATCTAGCTACCTTCCAAACATATACATTAAAACAAACTGCCCAAACTGTACTATTAATAGACCTAGATATAAAATAACAATAAAAATCTATTAAGATCAAAACAACATGCAAGTTAAGATCTATCTTCTCTCTTGAAAATAAGGAAGAAAAGTATCTTGGTTTTAAGAGACTGGTCTATTTACAAAGTGTCACAGAGGAGAGACACAGGCTTCTATCTTCTGAATACACTTAGCATGGAATAGCAACTCCAATAGCAAGTTAGCCTGGAAGAAAAACTAGACTGGAAAGAGAAGGGGAAATTCTCAATGAGTAAAAAATACATACTAATTTTTCAAATGCCTATTTCTTGTCCAACACAGGCAAATTTTTGTTTACAAATACAATTCTATATGCCTGGAAGCAGAGTATGTATTTATGAAGAGATCTCAAACTAGATTAATAATTAAAAGAAAAAAGATCCAAGCAAAGACTCACAGACCTTGAGTTCATTCCAAAATAAAATTTACTTTACTGTCAAACATCTGTAAAAATCAGGTTATGAGATTGCTAACCTCTTTTCATTCTTTCATACTAATCTTGTGCCCCTCTTACATGTTCCTTTAAAAACACATAAACTGCCAAGATATTACACTTCGGAAGTTAATTTATCTTGGATAAAGCTTAACTTATTCTCAAGGTATCATCAATGGGTCTAAATCCTGACTGTGCATCAAAATGACCTCCTAAGGCTTTTTGTTTGTCTTTTAAGCACAGGTGGCAGCACCCCATCCCAGACAGCAGAATCTCCAAGGAGGAATCCAGACACAACTGCTTTACTTTGGAAGAACAGGTTATTCTGTTATACAATCAAAGTCGAATATCACCATCCTAAACCATGGGCAAAGATCTGAGTGATGAACCTCACACTGATTATGACAACACAAAGCCAAGAGGACAGAAGTCAGATGTAGGACCTGTGCCTCTCATAAAGGGAAGCACAGTTTCATACAGGAATGGGCTTTCCCTTCTCTTACCTATGACACCATAGAGTTTCATGTCCTGGGTAGGTATCAATGAGATCTGTGGTGAATTCAACTTCTTCTTCTAGAAGATGAGGAAGATTAATCCGTGATTCCGTGGTAGAAGTTGCCTCTTCATCTTTTGGAAGAACTAGGGCTGGCTCGCTTCTCAAAGGGTTTTGATCCAATACTGAACTGTCGATCACAGTTTGGCTAATCAAAGACTTTATCAAAAACTGGCGGTAGTGAAACCCACTGTGGTCTGAAACATGCATGGATGCCCAGTGCTTAGTAGAAGACAGTTCATCAAGAAGAATCTTGTAGGAAGAAAAAAAAGAAGTGAAACAAGGAATTCCCAATATTTTTTTCCTCCATTAACACTTTGGGTTTCTCTGATTCATTCTTTTTTTTTTTTTATGATGTCATTCCTACTAATATTATTGAACCCCTTCTAACTTTCTGTAAAACGAGGGTAGGGCTATTGAAGAACTCCCTGGTATTATTTGTATATGATGCCCAGCAACTACAGTGCTGTCAATAGCTCAATGTATGATAGTTTGTCCTTTCCCTTATAAAGAGGTAGAAGACATTAAAAGTTCACAGAATTTAAGGATTATTTGTCCTTCTATTTCTGGGCCTTGATTAATCACATTCTGATTGACACCCATAGAGAAAAACTAAATTCTAAAATAATGATAAATATTAGGATGTTCATTCGAAGTAATGCTAACATAGAAGGAAAAATGGTAAATTCAGGTTACTTTGATATAACTGCTTTTTACAAATTAACCAAATATGAGGAGATAACAAAAGGTCTGTGGAAAAATTCCATTATATTTTCATTCCATTTTCCACAAACTTTTTGAAGCCCCCTCATATGAGCTAGGTCTGTGATTCAAACCAGCTGATCCTTGAAAACAGTACACAGGGTCGCTATGGGTCGGAATCGACTCGACAGCACTTAAAAACAACAACATATATGTGCTGTCAAGTCGGTTCTGACCCATAGAGACCCAAGCTCCTGTTTCCGAAGAGCTTGAACCACCGATTTTGTGGTTCAAAGCAACTCTGTAGTATAGCGCATTAACCCACAGTGCCACACCAGGACGCCCATATGAACTATAGTTAGCACATTATTTATTTAACAGAAGGCTCGATGTAATTATTTATTCTTTACTGTAAGTGCTTGTTTTGTTCATTACTTAACTCCAAGGGCTTAGCACAATGAATGATACAAGAGGCCTTTTAAAGCACTCACGACTTTCAATATTCACCCCAAACTCACTTAGCATTAATGATAAATGTGATTCTAAAATAAGTGAAATAAAATTCAGCAGTGAATTGTTTAAACCTCTGCGCTACCAAGCCTACAAACTAAAAGTTTTCAAATGGAATGATTTTTTTAAAAAAAGGAGCAATCATGAAAAATAAATTATCTAGCAGTTTCTTAGAGAGGTATCAAACATAGATGGATTATGATTAGCAAAAGATAAAACTGACCAGGGAAAGCAGGCACTCCCAGCAGCCTCTGGTCCCAGTACTGACCAGGGAAGCCAAGGGAAGTCTCTGGAGAAGGGAGACAAGGGGAAGGAGGCCACCTGAACTGAAAGACTGGCATCTGAAAGGCAGTAATGGAGAGGGATTGTTGTCCTTGTTGTTAAGTGCAATCCAGTCGGTTCCAACTCAGAGACACTGTATAGGGTTTCCAAGGAGCAGCTGCTGGGTTTGAGCCACTAACCTTGCTGTTATCAGTCCTTAATTATTAATAAAGCTGAACATTTCTTCTGATTTGTCTTCTTTGGTGAGCTTCCTGTTTTGTCATTTGTGATATCCATTGCTTTTCTTATGTGTCTGTACGTAATCTCACCACATTAGGCCTCTCATTTCCACATTGTTATGAAGTGCCGTCGAGTCAGTCTGACACACAGGAAGCCTGTATCATAGCATTTCTGAGGAACATATAGGTTATAAGTTTTTCCTCAATACTATTACTGCAATATGAACTTCTGGTGTGGTGCTGCAGGCTCAGCACTGGACTGCGAACCACCAGGTCAGCAGTTCAAACCTACCAGGTGCTCCTTGGAAAGCATCTACAGGGTGGCTGTGAGTCAGAACTGACTTTATGGCACTTAACAACAATAATTACTGCAATTTAGTCTTTAAAATCCTCTTTTTCCTTTATAAAAATTTTTAATGTTTGATATATAATGTGAGGTTACAACCCAACTTAATTACAATCTATAATGTCAATCAATTTTATCAGCATAACAAATGGAAAAAAGGCTCCGTTCTCCAATGATACGAAATGCCCCATTTCTCATCAGTGCATCTGTATAATGCATGATGGGCTTTGTATTCTCTCCCATTACTCTATTTTTACCCTGCCAGGACCAGGGCTTTAGTCACTCGATTTTTATCAACATCTTTTTATCTAGCAGAAAACGCTATCTCTACTTTTCTTTAAAAAAAATCTCAGCTATTCTTGACACTTATTCTTTCAAGTTAACTTCAAAATCAATTTTTGAAGTTTAAAAATAAATCTAAGCAGTATTTTTATAGAAAATTAACTGTATTATGAATTATTTTTAACAAAATAGGTCTTATTTTTCCACTCAGAAATACAGTCTGTCTCTTCAGTTATTATTTTTTTAGAGTCCCTCTATAAAATTTTTAGTTTTCTTCATATAGAGCCTACATATTTCTTCCTAAAAAAAAAAAAAAAAAATTCCGTGGGTATTTTACGTTTTTCCTTGCTTTAATCAAAGGGCAGATTTAATTTTTTAAAAAAATTCTCAATGTGTATAATACTCTACAAATATAGAATTATTTTCACACATCCTTTGACAAATGTAAGTTGCTTTAAATCCACAGAGCTCAGTAAAATATGCGGCTAATGTGATATATCAATGATGTGAATATCTTAAGTCTAAAACAAAACGAAACATGAATTTGCCAATTGTATTATTTTTCATGGTTTATACGTAACTTCTGGAGTCCTGGTCTGGCACTGTAGATTAAGTACTGGACTGCTAAATGCAAGGTTGGCAGTTCAAACCCAGCAGCTGCTCCTCGGAATCCCTACACAGGGCTTTTATGAACTGGAACCAACTTAACATCAACAATACACTTAACTTCTAGCACCTACCCTTAGATCTAGGACTAAATTACATTTCCTGATCCTGTTCAAGGATAGAGGGTGTGTCTTCTCCTGAGTGGTCACAGGTATGCACTGGGCTTCGTACACATTCTGCTCCAGCACCGAGTGGCAGGAGCACTGTCTATAGTCATGGAATGAAGCAGAAAGGACTGTCCTCATCTGTAGATCAGACCTCAGGGGGACTCTGTGGGTACCTTGCTAGAATTCATTTGAACTATACACCGGAACAGAAAGAGACAAAATGATCAAGCATTTGCTATATGACACATCTGTAGAGCTTCTAACCGCTGGAGGTAGCAGGTATGCACTACGAATGCCAGAGTCAGTCTACTTCAAACCCAAAAGGCTGTACGCTTACTCGTTTCTCATGCAGAATGGGAGTTTCTAGAGAGCTCGTTATTAGCCTATGATATTAAATTATGTTCAAAGTCATACAGTCAGTAGTAAAGCAAGATCTGGGATCCAAGCTTCAGTCTCAAGTGTCCAGCTTTCATTTTAGTAATGCCAAGTGTTCAAGAAGTAGAGGAAGAATTATTAAATAGTTCCCCTAAAGGGGGCAGGAGAATTGATTATCAATATTAATAGCAAAATTACTCATTGGTCTGTCTACCGTCCTGTATATTAACAATTACAAAAAACTGTCTAGTGTATTAATTTTCTCAACTACCCCTGGTAACTGGAACAAGGAATACAGATAAGTATTTTTTCTAATGAGACTGATTACAGCATCACTTGAGACCAACAGAGTGGGAATATCTGTGGGGTTACCTTATGAAATTAGGAAGTCCTAAACGCTTATGGAGACTGGGATGTCTCTAGAAGATAAGCACTGGGCTAGGAACCACAAGGTCAGTGGTTCAAGTCCACCAGTTGCTCCTCGATGAAAGATGAGACTTTCTGCTGCCACAAAGATTTACAGCCTCAAAAATCCTATACATTTCTGACTCGATGGCATCAACAACAACAATACAAACTTGGAACAACATAACTGATTCTCCCACTTAACAACAAACTCTTGTGAGAGCAAACAACAAATAAGACTTAAAACATTTTGAAAGGTTTTTGATAAAATTTAATAAGCCAGATAATTTAAGATCCAAATAATCTAAAGATAAAAATTATTGACATCACCCATAATGGGAACTTAGATTTTTTTTCTACTTCTGCAAATTGTAACCTGTGTGGATGGATAATCTAGTGCCCTATCAATTCCTCTAAGTACACGTTTGCCCACATAGTTAAGTCCTTTGTCAGAATTAAAATAAGCTTGAGAAAATGAAAACTAGGTCTAAGCTTTAATATGGCAATAATGTGAATTAATTTTGGAGACAAACCTATTGGCTAATTAAAGAAAAAGACAACAAAAAGCAAAGCGATTAAACCAGGGCTAAGCTAGTATTTTGTTTGGCTTTACAGGTATGTCTGAAAAGACGTTTGGCAAATCACTCATCCAACTTAAATTACATACTTAAAAGAAAATGTGGTAACATGTAATACAATATACTATTAATTACTAAAATAGTACTTTCAAAATTAAATTTATACTCAGTGCAACCTTATTCATTTGTGATTATTTTATACACAAAGCATGAACATAGCATTTCTATACTGAATTCATCTCCCCAATTACAGATTTAAATCTTTCAAAAACTAATTCAGCCCTGGAGGTGGTGCTCAGTCATCTCTGCCATGAAATTTGGAAAACAATTCCCTAGCCAACCAACTGGAAGAGATCCATATTTATGCCCATTCCAAAGAGAGGTGACCCAAAGGAATGAGGAAACCATCGGACAATATCATTATTCTCACATGCAAAAAAAATTTTGCTGATAATTTAAAAATGGCTTCAATAGCACACTGACAGGGAACTGCCAGAAATTCAAGTCAGATTCAGAAGAGGATGAGGAACAAAAGATATCACTGCTGATGTCAGATGGATCTTGGCTGACACCAAAGTATACCAGAAATATGTTTAATTGTTTTATTGACTATGCAAAAGCTTTTGACTGTGTAGTTCATGATAAAGTATGGATAACACTGGAAAGAATGAGTATTCTAGGACACTTAACTGTGCTCATGAGGAACCAGTTCAAACAGAATGAGGGACCACCAAATGGTTTAAAATCAAGAAAGGTATGCACAGGGTAGAATTTGTGCACA